GTAGAAACCAGGGAGAAACGGGAAAATGTTGTCGATGAACTTAATCAGGCTTTGGACCACATTTTCGAATGGGGTACCAGGAGCTTGGTTGAGTTCAATGCCAAGAAAAGTCAGGCTTGCGCTTTCACGGCAAAAACGTCGCCATTCCTTCCCCTTCCCTATCTTAAGGGCACAACACTGGCGCTACAGAGCAACATTACCATGCTCTGTATGGAAGTTCGCTCAGACCTGAATCCAAAGGAATACATCGAAACCGTGATCAAAACAGCTTCACGCAAACTCGGAGTCCTGAAAAAGGTGCAGAGTTTTTTCACACCCGAACAACCGTGCTTGTTGTACAAAACGCAAGTGCGGTCCTGTGTGGAATATTGCTTGCACCTCTGGGATGGCTCCGCTAAGTACTTACTCGATGCCTTGGATAGGTTGCAGCGGCGCGCTGCCCACATCAGTGGCGATGAAGAGGTAACTAAGAAACTCGAGTCTCTACAATTACGCCGCGATGTGGCATCATTAAGCGCATTCAACTGACTATACCACGGCGAGTGTTCTGAGGAGTTATTCTCCCTTATCCATCCATCACCTTATCTTCAGAGGACCACGCGCGCTGGTCTTCGCTGCCACTGACTTACTGTAGCCACTATTCCTACACGAACAAATAAATTTGAAGACTCATTTCTGTGTCGTACTATTCGTAAGTGGAATTCTTTACCCGCGCACGTGTTCCCACATTCCTATAATCTGGGGACCTTTAAGAGAGGCTTGAAGAAGCATTTTTGCAGGCCGGCAAGGTGAGGACGGTTGGTGCAGCAGTTTATAAATGCTGTACTAGCTATCTTCGCGTTTGGACTTTATCACCACTAAACATCAGTTATTTGCCTACCTAGCTATAAAAAAAAATAGTTCAGGATCATATAGCTGAAAAGACAAAAACGGTCGAAAGAAATATCCATAATGTATTTCATTCTTAAAACCAATTGTGGATAAGCAAGCGACACTTAACGCAATAATACAGCCACGTGTCTATTCACGAGAGAAGACCGTATAGCAATTTGATGGTCGTCCAGCTCAAGTGTAGTGTAGACTCGCCATTACTGGAAATTTCATCGGATTACATTGTATGTTTCTCTTAACCGAGTTCCACAAATGCCGTACAACCTTAAGTGTACCTACGTAAACAAGATTGAATAAGGTTAGAATTGGCACTCAACTCGACAATAAAAGGATATTAAAGTATTTTCATACATAATAATATGATATAAATGTAATGAGGAGTTCGATGGCGCAAGTGGTTAGCGCGTTCGGCTGCGATCGTTAGTGTCGCCGCACATGGGCCACCGACCACAACCACAAAACGCCGCCGTCGGCATATTTCTTGTAGTTTTCATACATTTTACATGGACTCGCCACACACGGTACGCCGGTGGCCGCCACACGCTACAAATCGTCGTTGCTCGCTTCTCGTGGCCCGCACCGGCCACTTAATGCACCGATACAAAACGCCGCCACACGTCACTCGCGCGATTCCCCACCCCTCTCCCCCTTGGTGGTTTGTAGTACCGTGTGTGGCGAGTCCATATCAAATGTATGAAAACTACAAGAAATATGCCGGTGGCGGCATTTTGTGGTTGTGGTGGCCCGTGTGCGGCGACACTTAAAGTTAAGCATTTTCGCAGTGGTCGGTCATAGGATGTGTGACCAATTATTTACTATCTCGAGCTCCTTCATGCTTCGGAAGGCACGTTAAGCCGTTGATCCCGGTAGTCGTTAGCACCTACCAATCCGCACTGGGCCCGTGTGGTTGGTCATGGCCCAATCCCCTATGCCATCCATAGGGAAGGCCTGTGCCCCAGCAGTGTGGACATTAATAGGTAAAATGATAACTTCTGTTCTGTAATAAAGTATATAAAAAAACATTTTTAACTGTTGAAAAACTTGTTTCATATTAATATATATAAATTACGCGTCACGTTGTTTCTCATGGATGAACTACTTAACCGATTTTAATCAAATTTGCACACCGTGTGAAGTTTGATCCAACTTGAAAGATAGTATACCTTAAATCTCAATTTATAGTCGCAATATTATTTTATTGTAATTTATTACTTTTGGGCGGTACGAAGTTCGCCGAGTCAGCTAGTTTAATGTAAAATGTCTCAATGTCCCTTTGTTCATTACGTTTTCAAACCCAAACCGTTTGACCAATCCCCATAGATATATTATCTCTTAAAGTTACAACATACTTAAGTTATCTTTAGTTGCAATAATAAAAGTGGACCGAATGAAACGGAGAATGAAAAACCAATGATTTATTTCCAATCTTAAAGATATGAACAGAACATTTATATTCACACAGTTTTATGATGCTAAAAAAACGAATTTTGAAAAAGTATTTCTCCTAAAGCGATACTATAGGTAATTTTAAGTACAGTATTATTTCAAGTACAGTAATGATCGTTTCAAAACAAACTCAAAAAGTTTGTTGGTACAAACAGCCACTCATCAAATAACCACAATTTGTCAAATTTACTCAATGTTTTTGTGAATTTCATATCAATCGAAGTGATGTGAAGTACAAAATTAGTTAAGAGAAATTTGACTTTTTTGTATCACTTGTTTTCTGGTTGGGTACCTATGTACACTCGTAACGATGTCTTGCTAAATCGAACTAATTGACAATGTTGTTTTGTCTTAAAATAATTGGCCTTATATGCATAGTATTTACAAATACTTATTCTTTAACAGAAGTTCTTTACAATAAATTATGTTTTTAATGCCGAACAATATTCAAGGGTGTGTCTGAGTATACTACTTAGACTAGAACATTAGTGTGTCTGAGTGTAGAACAGTACGCCGAGCGGCTATAAAATAATATTGTTTACGCTCGGCATACTGTTACAAGACACAGATCAAAAGTGCCTAGGGATCAAGTACGCAACGCAAGTACGTAATTGATCCCGCCTTTAACTTGGGTCCATTTCCTACAATTTACAAACGGCGATAGAAGCTCTATTTAAAAAAAAAAAGGAAAAAGACAATCAGGAGTTCTGTTCCGCATTTGCTTGTTAATTAATGTTGATTGGATATTTTTTATTGCAAAAATTTACTCGACCCCTATACACTTTTGATGTACAATTGTACACATATATTTTACCTACATAAAGTTTTCATTTATTACAATCAAATCTTACAAAGTGTAACAAAACTTAAAATAAAAAAAAAAAATACAAGAAAAATCTCACTTGCCTTGATGAAGGGCGTGCATACGTTAAACACACTATCAATTGTTTAGAGAAACGTTTTTTACATTAAACTTCTTTTTTTATTCTAACATTTATAGAATCTTAAAAAAATTACATAGAAAGTTCACACAAAAAGCTCATAGTCAACACCTACCTTAAGATTACTTTATACAGTTACAGATCAATATCTATATAAATTCTACGTAAGTATAAGTAGGAACTTGATACATTATAGATGCCTATTTACAACTTATCTATTAGACAATACTCAGTATTAGACAGTACACCCACCGGAAATTTCATAATAAATTTTCCGGAATCTATAATGTTGTAAACATTTAGGTTCTTATCATAATTGATGCTAAAACGAATCCTATTACTATATATATATAAAAGTAGTTACATATTTCAACTCGTCCCAGGTACCAAGCTGAATTCTTAGAAGAATCCTTCATTTTCCAGGCGAATTTATTAGTAATTCGGGCTACCGGGAACTACACGGCGTGTCGAAATATTTCAAGTATTTCAGACAGCAGCCTTACCGGCAAACTTCTTGAGCTAAACCACAGACACATAAACATGCGCAGGAGCAGATTGTGTATGAGAAATTGCTGCTGCACTGGCTTCATCATCCATGGTATATCTAAAGAAGTTTGCCCGGGAGTATATTGTATATTTTCAAGTAGATTATACTGGGAAATATTCGAAGTACGGCGACACAGCGTAAGTACACCGGCGAATAACAGGGCAGGTAATTCTGGGAGATTTTACCAGTGGCGTAGCGTGCCTTGGCGGAGCCCCGTAAATAAAAGTTTGCCCTCAGGAAGGGTAAAGATTTCTCACAAAAGAAAAAAAATGTTTGCTTAAAATTAAAAGATATATTTATTCATCATTATTCATCTGTCACTTTTGACATACAATTCAAATTAAATATACACTCTCCTTGCCTTTTTTTGGCAAATTGATTTATTGAATCATTTGTAGCTGATGATGACTTTAGTTTCTCTAAAGTTTCTGCCTCTATGGACAATAGTGACTCCGTGGTATATCATCGTATCGCATGTATGTACATCGATTATTGTGGGAGTCCCCAGTTCAAGTAAATGACTTAAACGGGGAAATCCCGCCGCCCGCGATAACCGATGTAGGGTGTTGCCAACGCACACTTTACGCGAAAAAAAAAGAAATTGCTTTTTTTGACATTTGTCATTTCTGAAAAAAAAAATGGAATGTTTTTATAAATTTTTGTTTAAACTCCCGTGGCCGGGGGCCCCGTATTATTGATACGGCAGATACGGCGGTAGCTACGCCACTGGATTTCACTATTCGGTTTTTGAAATACAAATCTATACTTCGTTGGTAAACTGAACTGCCCTTACATGATTTGCCATTAGCTCTGGCCATTAGCAGCTGTACTCAGAAATGGCAATTAACTTTTAAGCCGATGAAAGTTATTGCTGTCATCACATTCTTTGTGATGACAAAAGAATAAGATAACGCACGTCACTATAAATGACATTACATAAATTCTCTGAGTGGTGCTGTAAGTAGAGGAGTTAACTCATTACGGATTGTTGGCTATAAACTTCTACGGTAAAAAAAAGATTTGCGGAGATTCTTAGAAAAGAAAAAAATTTTTTACTCAACTTCGTCCAGTTATTTTTCGCTGATTCCTCAAAGTTTGCATAAGTATAATAAATAATGTACATACAAGCTTAGATTAAAACGAAAAGGATAGATACGGTTCGCTCATACTTGCATCAAACAAAAACTGATCCCACGGCAGCGCGAACGGGACGGCGAGATCCGCGTCACTGCATTACCGACCCGAACGAAACAGCACGTTAAGTTTCAACGGCAGCGCGAACGAGACGGCGAGATTCGCGTCACTGCACTACCGACCAATTACGCGACCAGTACTCGACGTCACTACCGAATAAGATTCCAAACAAACAGCATTTTTTATGAAAATATATATTTCATAGTACTTACGAATGAAAAGTGATGCCGTGAGTTTTATTTTTAGTTCTTGAGCAATTTGAGCACTTTTTAAAAACACACTTAGGCATTGTTTTATCATATAAACACAAAATATTAGCAATATCTATTTTTGGCGTTCACATGTACGTCGTTTGCATGTCAAGTTGTGACTAAAGCGATTAGGGTCGTGGACCACAATTCATGCGGATCACTTTTGTGAGGCTAGTGTCGTATCTACCCTTTTTGTTTTAATCTAAGCATACAAGTCATAGTTTTGCCTTTTTTAATTATTGAAATATGCAATGTGATTTATTTCTGAATGAAATTGTTATAAGTAAAAGACAAGCGAGGCGCGTCGTGAAGAGAGATAATGAAATAATATGATTTTCATTCTCTTTCAGTATGATGATTTCATTAGGTATTTAATTTAGTAGACTGGTAGATTAAAACAAATGTTTTAATATAAGGGTAGATAAGATGATATCTTAAGAATCATAGCAAATAAATCCCGAATTTCACGAAATGTTACAGCTTACATAATTCATGAACTGTATTCATACATAGATAAAATAAGATTACGCTCGTCTGTTCGTTGCAGTTGCAAGATCAAATGAATAGTCAGATCTGGTCTTCATTTACTAGAATGTAATAAACAATTTGGGTGTTAGGTATAATGTTTTTTTTAAATAAAATTTATAATAACACTCCTTCGCTTTTAAATCCCTGCCGCACCATGGGTTTATTCATTAGACATCCGCAATTTTCACTTCTGGATGCGTGGTTATTATCTATTAAAAAAACCGGCCAAGTGTGTGTCGTGTCACGCGCAGTGTAGGGTTCCGTAGTTGCATGTAGTTACCACAATATATTTGAACAAGAGTCTATATTTTCTATATCGGAAATTAGAAAAACTATTAATATCAATTACATAGATTGATATATCTCAACAAATATACCTAAATCAAAGTCAAACTGCGTCTCAAACACAAATCAATTTGATATTAATTTGTTTTCAAATACCTGTGAATGCCGCCGATCTTTTTTTGTTTCCTCCCAGGCGGGGGAGCGGGTGTGAAATCCTCAAGGATACCCTACAGCCGGTTGCAAGGATATGTCAGTCTCTTACGGACTAAAACACACCCTTAGTTCATGCTTATGGCCAGAAGGGCCTTACAATCTTCATTTGAAGCTATCATTCCTTGAGAAGGCGATGATGAGGTATAACCGCCGATCTTTTGAAGATTATGATATCTTTTGAAACGTAACGTTAGCGCGACTCAGAAACCGTTGCCGTTGGTACTTCGCGGTAGCGTTGTGGAACTAATGATATTTCATTGTGGTTGTCAAATAGTTTCTTTTAGATTTTGTTGCAATGCAAAGAATTTTTAATGTAAGAAATTTTCTTTAACCAAATTTGAACGACTATTAGTCTTAAACTAACAAATCTGTCTTAACCGTTATAGTTTTCCTTAAAAGTTCATGAAAAGCACAGCACTATCATGAAAATTATTCCAGGTTTTTCAAATCAATAGTTTTGCTTTTAAGGGGGGGGGGGGCGACGACGACGACGACCTACTCGTACAAAAATAAGGACTTTAAAGTTCAATAAGTCGCGAACAGATCCCTAAATCGAAAACTAGTCTTAGGTACCCCCTAGTTATTTTAAAGGACCTATTCAACGATATCCCACACGATGGGGTTATCCCCAGGTTACATGTAGGTGAGCTACTCTAAAAATCTATTATATATATCTCTATTTTATTAATGCAGTATTTTTTTTTCTTTGATATAGAGGTAGGCCTTATGATATTTTATTGGGCAAGCACAGCAAAAACAGCATTGCCTTGCGTCAAAAAACTTCCACAAGCTCCACAGTTTACCATCTTTAGTCCAAAAATTTAAATTATGAAGTCTAAATAAAAGGGAGACAACTAAAAATAAGAACAGGTGCTGGGGTCTAAAACAAATATAAAAGAAGGAATAAAATAAATAAAAAAATACGAGTGCGGGATTTGAACCGACAACCGCGGTGATGCGTCGAACGTTGGTCGTGGCAAAAATTTAACACGTGCGCCGTTTCGATCGATATGTGAAAGGCGGAAATTGTGTTCATATGCACAGTTGTCACGTTATTTTCGTTACGGATTTTTTGGATTCGGTCGCCACGCTCAAAGCCCGCGATAAAATCTATGCAATAGCTTAAAAATATTTTTCTAAATTTTGTTCTACCATTTAGTCGACGTGATCGATATAATATATAAATATATTATATCTCCACAAAATTACAGCTCTTTAGTGCTAATAGTCTCCAATCAAAACTGGGGACCAGTGTTGCCAGGTCTCCAGATTTTACAGGAGATCTCCTGTTTTTCTGAATTTTCCCGATTTTTAAAAAACGGACCTGGCAACACTGCTGGGGACAGACCCTTTAAAAAAAGAATATTGACATTCACGCGAGTTTCTACAGTGCTGGAAACTTTTTATGAATTTAAGATCTGAGAACGCCCCATGATTTTAGAATCTTTGATAGAGAATTCATATTGGTATAGATAAAGTACTATATGCAACTGGTATAGTTAGGTATTAAAACACTCATTTGATACTACTATTATCACAACCCACATCCGTGTTTTAATACCACTCGTTATACAATGTATATAACAGTAAATAACTACTAAATTATTTATGCAAGTCCAAAAATAAAATTAAGAAAACTAGTAGACTGTTACTTGAGGTCCCTGCATATTTTCAAGTAATAAGGTTACTTTTTACTACACATTAAGTTTTTAATAGGTTGTAGGTAGGGAATATTGTAATATTACTAGAAAAAAAAACACTTCCGTGTTTCAGACGGAATATTAATTTTAGCAGTTGATGCCTTAAAAAATAAATATATAATAATAAATCTACAATATTCATTTCTTCTTTCTAATGTTTAATACTTGTAAAGGTATTTTGTTTGAAATTAAGCCACTTACAATACGAAGAGATGGCTCTGCCCTGCAGCCAAAGAAATAAGTACCAGAAGAGATTAGGCGTTTCAACATTGTACAGTGAAGTTGGTACTTGCTTATCTTGTTTATTTCCACTTATCGGGGTAAACAAGCTACTGAACTTCTAAGTAAAGTTAAGAATGATTTATGTGCTTATAATACTGACAATGACAAAGGAATCTTTATATATTATTTATATAATACAAGCCAACCGAGTCTATGTTAAAGGTAAAGATTTAACTCTTAGCGTGTTCAAGGAATAATATGATGGAAAATTGATGTCGTAGCTTTTCGACATTTAATAGTACTTGTAACAGCCTAGACTGAATAAACGATATTGTTTTTTTTTTAATTTCTAAACATCGACCCGCTACTGATAAGATTTTGAATGATTCAGAGATTAGAAAAAAATCGAGGAAAAATAAACTTTATGACGCCGATGCTAAAACCTTTTTTTCTCAGTTCTTGCTGAGTATAGGTGTGTCGTGTTCAAATAGAATAATATATTTTTAAATATTAGTTCAGGTAAAATAAATTTTAAACTAACGAAATCCAGCTGTACTTGGGACAAGTTTTAGTTTTCTTTTTAAAAAATATATTATATTCATTACAACACATAATCATCAATCAATTTTATGGCCCGATTGTTTGAGAGCAATCGTTCCCTAATCTATAGAAGAAAAAAAACATAAAAGAGAATATGGTCACACCAAGGAACTTATATACTATCTGAAATGCTTATGCGAAATCTTATTTATTATTATTTATAATAATAATCTTATTCATGAATAATCACATATATTTAACAATAGCTATTTTTTTGTGTTATAGGCTATTTGACAGCATGAAAATAAAGTACCAATTATTATTGGCATGTCTATTTAACATGAATATTGAGAGCGATGTCACTTCTCTTTTCTTCTGTCTAACCTGTCTTCTTTCTTACCGTTACAATTTTGTCTAAAAAGTAGTTGTCGTCGAAGACGTTACTTGCTTGTAAAAATGTTATCGAAGTGAGATTACTTTGGTACCGTTTGACGTCATACGCCTGTAAGACGCCATATTGGCGCATATCTGAAAACATAATTTCTATTTTCGTTTTTTTACCGATATAACCAACAGAATTATAAATACTCATCTACTTTTTATGGATGCACTGCAAGTGTGAATAAATAACGTAATATCGTTTACAATCTCTTCTTAAATAACCTATTCTAAACGCTTTTGGCTCATGTTTTTTTACTAACTTATTGTCTAACATTCAACGTCAAAAATAGTATATACATTCTTGCTGAATTCCACCGCACGACTTTATTCATTATGCGGAATAATGAATGAAAAAAAATCTCTTGTCCAATAGGTAACTATCCCTGATTTCCTTTCACACCGTCCAGCCACTTAATATTAACCACGGAACAATGGATCTTAAGTTAAAACTTACACAACCTTCAAAGTTTAATCCACTGTGGGTACTTAATAACAAAGTCATTGTTCACTCCTCTTCGAATCACATTCACTCAAATAGACTTTCTTGACGTCACCGAAGTATTTGTGATCAAGCAAGTCGCCGTTTTCCAGGCAGCATGGTGTCGGGTCTTTTATGTAGTCCACTTTGCTGATAAAGGAGACCCGTTGGTCACGGAGACGGTAGCTGTTCTTGAAGCTCGGCATGGAGGTGACGTCACGGCAACTGGTGTGCTCCAAGGTGAAGGGCTGGGAGTCGGTGCGTTTGAGACCGCTACAAAGCAAAGTCTCTCGGAACGCTATCCGGTATCTGCGGACAATGGTAATAAACGGTTAAGAAAATTTATCTTCCCAAGATTCACTTACCAATATTATGAAGAAGTAAAGTTTGTAAGTGTGGTCGGTTCTGTTCGGAGGAAGCAATTTCTCAACCTAATGGACCAATTAAGAACAATTTTTCACCTCTGGAAAATGTGGGGGGAATTTCTAACAGAAAAATCATATTCTATAAAAAAAAGAATTTTGTTATTATCCCTGCTGATTTATTGCAAAAAAGATGGAAAACAGACATAACGTTTGTTATGTTTAGATTAGTGTAAGTAGAACTGGCACATTAATAATGCGTTCAGCATATTTATTCTTTTATTAACATTAAAATGTTGCAATCCACACGTAAAAATCGTTGTATATACATTCTATATAGTTGAAAGAAAAACAACAAAGCATCTTGGTAAGAACTTAACTAAATGGTACTATTATTATAATGAAATGACAACATTAATTTCGTATAAACGCAATAAATTAGAACAAAATGTCAGGGTAACGGCTCGCAAAGCACCTATTATTCGCAGAGCACGTCAAACAGACGGAGTTATATGTAAAAGTATGTTCTTAATGTATTTTTGGCAACTCTCATTGCCGTGGACGGACGTTCGAATTTCTACTATACTAATTTAATTAAATAAGGTAACATCACTTTTTTTTGAAATACAAAGCAATAGAATAATACAAAAAAACATTAAATTGGCGTTCCTGAGTGAAAAGATTATATCCATACAAAAGGTCAATGGCTCAGTGGTTGGTTACTAAAGTACTACATAATGGTCAGTGCATTCGCCCGGATAGCGAAGGGTGTGGGTTCGAGTCCCGTTTGCTGCCAGTTCCGCGTGGAAATATTTCTAGTAAAATTTTCTTTCGATTTAAAAGTCTAAAATAAAAAATTAACTACAAAAAAACCCTACTTTTTGGCTGTGTTTATCGAAGAATTTTAAACAGTTTTCCTTCTCGGTGGCATCTGCGATAGTCAGCTCACCACCTATGCTGAAAAGTCCTGCGTGGTGCCGCCTCATGATTAGTTCGCAATGATATATTATTTCTAATATTTAATATATAATTATAAAGAATATATAATTATATATGATAATAACAGATTTTATCATATTTAATAACCATATTCCAAATGTTTTCTTGTGCATAGAGTAACTTTTATTAGTCGTAGAGACGCTCCAATTGGCCTTATTTCGAGTCAGCATGCGCGCTTATGACATATAATCTGCTTTTATATAATATCATTGTAGTTATAAGCGTCGGGGAATATTCTCCATTCTGGGTGATTTCATTTTTGTGAAATACGGGAATATTACGATTTTTCCGGTTTGTTTATTTTATTTTTATTACGAAGTCATAGAAATATTCCCAACTTTGTGAATAATCGACAATATTTCGAGTCGAGATTTTTTTATTATTTTAAATTAAAGAAAAAATTACTCCTTTTTCCTGGAAACGTCACATCACATATTGAAAATACGTTAATAACGATTTTCTAGTTTTGTGTTATCATTTATAGTGAAGACTCAGTATTGGGGAAATATCCTGATGTGACGGATAGTTTCATTATATCAGAATAATTCTCCCACTGATGTTTGATGTAGCGTGTAGCAGACCTTTAAAATTGTTCGAAACATCGTAAGTCTGGAAAATTGAAACGAAAATATCTTTAGTGAGCATGAATATCAGTTCCAAGACAATAAGTAGGCAATAGGCAATAAGTGAGTGACACTCAAGTATCGCAAGCGTCTGTAGGTTATGGTGTCCGCTTCCCATATGTTTATTTGTAAGTACAATTAAAAAATTGGAACATATTTGTAATCACTACCGCGCAGATAAAAGGAAACACGTCCTAAACTATACTCCACAGTTTCCAAGCGGAATTTACCGTTTTGTAAAAGCATTGTTAATTAGGTTTATTCACAGAAGTTAGGTACTCTAATTATAGGTTTTCGCCTACTGTTGAAACATCACTCGACATTGGGCCGCATCTAAGGGTCCTCATAGATAAGTACTTTGGGGAATTTAGGTCAGCATCTAACCTAATTAATTACTTGCTCTCTATTATTATTAAGGAATCTGGTACTAAACGAAACGTAATTAAGACCCTTTTCGATTGATCTATTGTTGGAACATTGGAACTTCGAACATCATTGTTTTGGAATAATACTAACAACGGCTTTTAGCAATTATTATCGTGCACATGGAGCAGTGAAAATTGTTGCTGTCTGATGAGTAAGCCCTTGGCGCGGTAGGGATTGAAAAAGCGAAGAAGTGTAATTATGAAATGACTTTCATAAGTACTGAAATATAACATTATAACACCCGTTTGGTTGATGATTTGACTGAATATAAGAAAAAGGCGCACGCATTCGAAATTTGAAATTAATTTCTCGCATTTAATTGTTCGTTTCGGAGGTCTAGGCACCTGCCATATTTCCCATATTGCCCTTCGTATAGCCGAACTCTTTAATTAAATATTATGCCCTTCTTTGGGCGTAATGTCAACTACATTACGCCCAAAGAAGGGCATAATATTCACTCACTTTGCCGAGGCCAGAAGCAAATGGTCTAAGGTATACCCGGGAGTGGATCCACCATCCTCTTTATCATCTCAGAGGCAATGGGACGAGCCGCTCTATTTGCGTATTCAGAGTGATCTTTTAGCATCCTCTGAAAACGCCACTGAGCGTGCTCGCCTTCTAACGATCTTTCAGGCAGAGTCTGGTTACTGGCTGCAAGCTTTACCTTCAGCCAATATCGGGACTTTGCTTGACAAGAGCAATTCATCTCTTGCGATATCGCTTAGACTTGGCGTCAAGACTAATCATCCCCATCGTTGTCGTTGCGGTACTCGCGTCGGTGAGCTGGGACATCATGGCCTTTCATGCTAAATGAGCGCTGGCCGAGTCTCCCGCCACGCCTGCATCAATGACGTCATCCGCAGGGCTCTTGTCGCTGCCAATATACCACCGGTCCTTGAGCCTAATGGCATCTTCTGCGACAATGGCAAGAGACCTGATGGGATGACGCTCATTCCTTGTAAGCAGGGTCGTCTTCTTGTATGAGACGCAACCTGCGTAGATACGCTTGCTCTGTGCCATACAGGTAATATCTCCCTAGCTGCAGGCGTGGCGGCGGCCCCTGCCGAGTGCTCCAAGCGGCGTAAATATTCTCTTTACATTTAAAAATATATCTTCCAGGAAACTGCCTTGTCTTCCAAGAACTCGCTGTCCCCTGAAGCTGTAAATTATATAAAGAAACATCTTGAGAAAGTAATGACTTTCAGTTGTGAAATAAACAAGTCGGGTTACAACTCAGGTTACGATTCCGTGTTCGTTAAATTTGCAACATCAGGTAGTATAGAATTCCAAATTAATCAAACTCGCTCAGAAATTCTATCTTAATTGAAAAACGTTTGGTTTGAATTTTATGGAATACTCCCCATTGTAGTGTTCTCACTTTAATAAAATTTCGTTAGTAAAAGGCATTTATTTTTTACTGTAATTTGAGCCTCCTTATCTTATATATAAAATTCTCGTGTCACAATGTTAGTTACCATACTCCTCCGAAACAGTCTGACCGATTTTTATGAAATTTTATATGCATATTCCGTGGGTCTGAGAATCGGCTACTATCTATTTTTCATATCCTTAAGTGATAATAGTTGTCCACCTGTAACGTAGTGTTCTGAAACCTACAATGCGCCTTCGCGCCAAAATTCAAACTATTGGGTATTTTAACGTAGCGTTCTCATATGGGTTAGGAGGAATGTTATCCCAGGAAATTGGTAGAACACTACGTTACACATCCCTAAATAAACTTTATTATGACGTGGTACATATTAAAAAATACATCCTAACCCTAAATTTTCTCTTCTACAACCTGCCCCTATTTTTATGGCTGTACGAAATTCGCTGGGCAGCTAGTATATATAGTACCTTGGTTTGCATAATTTTGTGTACCTACTTAGTGAATACTTTCTATCTAACAAGATTATGAAATCTATCTTATGAAAAAAGCGAAATCACGAAACCGTGAAATATGTTGTAAAATAAAACAAGTGTGCTTATTACCATACGACTGAAGTGAAACTTTTTTAGCTCCATCTGCATGTAAATATACATTTAATATAATACATGTATGTACATATACATATTTCATTAACTAGCTATAAGAGAAAGAGAGAAAGAAAATATGCGCGTACTGCTTTCTCCTGCTTATATCCCCCACTCAACTCGCGTTTGCCTCACCCGAACACACTTTTCGTAACGCGTAACGCATTCGCCAGCTTACCCCCCAAATCAAGCGTGCGTAAAGAAGTTTCACTTCAAAAATAGGAGATGTGCAACAATTGCTGGCAGAATATGTCGATATCCTAAGGTGGAGACAAATGTTAAAAAAAAATTGACCTGAAACCAACCACCACCAACCATGTAGGAGCTTTTCAAATTATTTTGTGAGATCCTACATCGGATGCAGCCAAACTTGTGACTTGATGCAATCAATCCCTTGAGTTTGTGTCCCCATAGAGTAAGTAACTTCTTAAATTTAAATTTAAAAGCAGCAGCAACGCCGAATGGTAAAGTACAAAATGCCTGCGACAATGCGCCCGCGTACTCAGCGAAGAAAACGAAGGACTTTCTGGACTCCACACCAGTTAGAGTCTTGGGACACCCTCCTTACAGTCCTGATTTGGCTCCTTTTGTGTGACTTCTTTTTATTCCCTAAGATAAAAAATCAGCTCAAAGGGATACAGTTTTCATCGCTGGAAGAAGCGCTAGCAGCGTTTGAGAAGGCCGTGGAAGAAGTATCTGCGGAGGACTGGAAAAAATGTTTTGAAAATTGGTTCAGACGCATGAAACTTGAAATAAAGGCTGGTGGACGGTTTTTTGAAAAGTTTTAATATTTTTTTTCCATATAAGTTAGTTTTTTAGTTTCCCAAAACTTTCTGAATGTCCCACGTAATATGCAACTGCATAT